AATTTCACCTTCTTGATGACCATTCTATGATTGTTATTTAAACTGAAAAATAAAAGGCTTTTCGTGTCTGCTTTTTAAAAACCTCCCTAACATTTAATATTATTCGACTTTCTTTTAATATATTTGTTTGTTTTCCCCACTATAGTTAACATTTTGGTTTTTGTAATACATTGTTAACCAACATTACTGGTCTCCTCTTTTATGTTTGGCCTATGTTACCTGCTCTGTACCCAGCTTTAAAATTAGGAGGACAATTTCTAACACATATGACCAATTCAAGAGGTCAAAATTTTGGCTTCTCTAAAACTCAGTGTCTGTATTTGTAAATTGGAGAAGAAAAGAAATTCACTATCGTGTGACTGTTGTGACTGTCAGTTAGGACACTTTGTGAATTGGCATTATTATATACTTTTGTATATAGCAAAAAATAATCTTATGTATTATTTGCATTTGAAAGGCCTAGGACATTTTTTTTTTCTTAGACATAGTCTTAAGCTGTCACCGTGGGTAGAGTGCTGTGGTGTCATAGCTCACTGCAGCCTTTAACTCTTGGGCTTAAGCTATCCTCTTGCCTCAGTTTTTCCATTTTTAGTAGAGATGGGGTCTTTCTTTATTGCTCAAGCTGGTCTAGAATTGGTGAGCTCAAGCAATCCATCTGCTCAGCCTCCCAGAGTACTAGAATTACAGGCATGAGCCACCACTCCCAGTTGAGGCCTAGAACACTGTCACCTACTCATCAAACTGAACCACAACGTTCACCCTTTGCAATATTAACTGTAGTTGTTTTCCAGTTAATTTTTTTCTTTCAGTAGATACACTAAACACATACTATGTGCCAGAAACTCTCCCAGGTACCAGAAATATTACAGTAAATTGAAAAAACAAAAAGTCAAGCATTCATAGAGTTTATTTTCTAGTAACAGAAAACAATTTAAGTTGAAATAATCAGGAAAGGTTTCAGAGGAAGTAAGACTTGGAACTGGCTCTGAAAGACAGACAGGATTTGGATGGTGGCCCAACACTGACTTTACAGCAGTGGAGAACAGCTCTAAGACACATTTCAGAAAATAATAATTCTACCTTTATGAGTCTAATACACATGTATAATACATATGTATAATAATGTGCATGTTAGTACATTAGTAACAGTAATTTCAGATTGAATTACATTGGCTGATCTAGTAAAGAAGTGAATTTCTGCAAGTGTTGCTGATGTAGGGGTTGTCCCAACAAAGGGAGGAAAGCCCTCTGAACTCACCAAATGGGTTCTTGGGTTCTGATAGGAAAGAATTCAAGAGCAAGTCAACTAGTGACAGAAAGCTTACACAGAGAATAGATTTTGTTCCACAGTGTAAAGGTCCTTTCCTGAACAAGAGGAGGATACTTATTGATTAAGCAATAGTAACATTTTTATTTCTTCAAAGTCCCTGTTAGGAAAAAGCTGTAGGTGATCAGCATTGTCTAGAGGTTAAGCCATAAAAGTTCATCACAAACTGCAATCATAGAAAAGTAAGCACAACTGTAAGATGGATATCCACCTTAGTAATTCACCCATCATAGGGTCATCCTGGGCTGGTGACATGCTGGTGACTTTTTTGTTTAGGGTAATTAGTTAGGGTCAGGTATTGGTCAAAATGGCTGCAGTCAGAGTCTCTTGACCTTCCTTTTCTGCCTTATCCCTTCATTATTTCCATCAGCCTTTTTGAAACTGGAGGGAAGTTACTGGATTCATCTGTGGACTCAGCTTCTTAAGTCTTTATTTTGTTGCTACCTGAACTCATAAATTCAGCTCAAATTTTGTGCTTTTTTTCCTCACAGGCTTATCTAAGGGCTTTTACCTTTTAATAAGAAAAGATTGATTAATACCTGGAAAAACAATGAAGTTGTTTGGTTTCAACATCATATTATCTGATGATCTGGGACTTTATTTTACTTTGATTTTTAAAAGAGGCAAAATGGCTCTGCCAGCCTTAACTCTGGGAGACCATACTTCTATCTTAGAGAAAATGCCTTCCCTCTACTCTCCTTCCTTTTTTTTTTTTTGAGACAGAGCCTCAAGCTGTCCCCCTGGGTAGAGTGCTGTGGCATTACAGCTCACAGCATCCTCCCACTCCTGGGCTCAAGCGAGTCTCCTGCCTCTGCCTCCCAAGTAGCTGGGACCACAGGCGCCCGCCACAACGCCCAGCTATTTTTTGGTTGCAGCCGTTATTGTTGTTTGGCGGGTCCGGGCTGGGGATTCGAACCTGCCACCTTAGGTGTACGTGGCTGGCGCCTTAGCCGGCTGAGCTATAGGCGCCGAGCCTCTCCTTCCTTTATGTTTCAAAAAAACGTGCCTTTTTGTTTAGAATTTTACACCTTATTACAGAAAAAAAAGAGTAAAGGAAAATAGAGTGGGATAAAATGTGTAAGTGATTCAGACAATAAACTGACCAAATTTTAAACTTTTTTAACCAGAAAAACATTTGACCATGTGAAAATAGTAAACAGAAATGCCATTCCTTAAAGTGGTGAAGCATTAAATGTGAATGGAAAACATGAAGTAAAATCAAGCTACATCTTAAATTAGAACTTCATAGAATGGCCCGGCATGGTGGCTCAAGATTAGGATTACTTCTAGGTAATCCTAGAACTCTGGGAGGCTGAGGCAAGTGGATTGCTTGAGTTCACAGGTTTGAGACCAGCCTGAGCCAGAGCAAGACACACACACCCCTCACCTCCTGTCTCTAAAAAAAAAAAAAAAAAGCTAGAGTTGTGGCAGGTGCCTATAGTCCCACCTAGTTGGGAGGCTGAGGCAACAGAAGTACTGGAGCCCAAGAGTTTGAGGTTGCTGTGATCTATGATGCCATAGGACTTTACAGAGGGCAACAAAGTGAGACTCTGTCTCCAAAAAAAATGAACGTCATAAAATGGATCTGATGGTGGGGAAGTGCAAAGCACTTGGATCTGCCTGGGGGGCAAATGTAAAGAAAATAACCAGCAGAAAAATTCAAGCTGATGGCACAGCATCTGGATTAGCTAGGGAGGATCCAAATGTTCCTAACTGATGTGAAGAGGTAATTTAAATTGATTCTAACCTGTTTTCTTTCTCGATTTTATCTCAACAAAGTTGAAGTCATTTTGTGCAAATTAGGCCTAAAATGGAGGTAGCAAGAAAACACATTTCCATCACTTACTTTATAAAAGAAAAATCTAAAGCGCATACCACTTGGACTACATGCTAGTCACCCAGCAACTTACTGGGAGGCCTGAAAATGATAGTATAACCTGCAAAACATACACATAATCATTTTCACTGTATGTTAAGATTTTTATTGTAAAGAGCATTTGATGTTTTCTAGGCACTAACTACTTCACAGGAAGATTCTCAGCATTAAATGAGTCTAGATGTTATGTTAAATAACACAATAAAACTCCTGTTTGGAGTGTTTGGGATTTATAAAATAAAAAACTTGGTAGCAGATAATATCTTTTGCCTAAGTTAGGCATTGATCAAAATCTTCAGAGTAAAGTGGCCTTGGCTACTTCTAAAGGAGAATTACAGTGACAGTTCTTTTAGAAAAGTGTGGATGGCTCTGAAAAGAGCCTTAGGCCAGCGGTTCTTAACCTGTGGGTCACCACCCCTTTGAGGATCTAACGACCCTTTCACAGGGGTCGCCTAAATACCATATCAGATATTTACATTACGATTCATAACAGTAGCAAAATTACAGTTATGAAGTAGCAACGAAAATAATTTTATGGTCGGGGGTCACGACAACATGAGAAACTGTATTAAAGGGTCGGCATTAGGAAGGCCGATAACCAGTGACTTAGAGGGTGTGGGCAGCTGCTGAGGAGCTCACTTGGAGCTTGTGTACTTGATGACAGCTTGGTGCCCTTGGATACAGCGTGCCTGGGAGCACCCCGGGCAGCAAGGAGGGCACAGCCGTCTGGATCTCCCTGGAGGTCATGGTCGAGGGCTTGTTGTAATGCTCCAGGCGAGATGCCTCACCCGTGATACGCTGGAAGATGTCGTTACTAAACGAATTCTTGATACCCATGGCCCTGGATGAGACGCCGGTGTAGGGATGGACCTGCTTCAGCATCTTGTACACGTAGATGGTAGCTCTCCTTGGGGCTGAACTTACGTTTCTTGCCATCTTTTTTTCCTGCGCTTTGGTCACAGCCTACCTGGAGCCTTTTGGGGGGAGGCGATCTGGCCAGTTCAGGACTAATAGAGACTAACTGCAATGAAAGTCAAAAGAATCAGGAAAAAAGCTGGACAAGGCAATACATAATCTCTTCATTCACTAGTTCTTAAGCAAAAGGTGATTAATAAAATCTTGTGTGTGGTTGGTGGCGCTTTGATGATGTCACACTCTAATTTTTGTCCAATCAGTAAAAGTGTATTTCATACCCGCAATTCTATTGGTTTAAGTGAAACTGCAACTGTAGCCAATAGCATAGCTTTATGTTCGCGCCCAGCATTGATTATAAGTAGTGCAATTTTTTTGTGTTATACACGTTAAGCTTTCAACAACCATATTGGTATCTTGTCTGGACGTAACAAGCAGAGTGTCAAGACCCGCTCTTCCCGGGCTGGACTCAGTTCCCAGTGGGCCGTATGCAGCGCTTGCTCCGTAAAGTTATTCTGGGCGTGTTAGTGACCGCGAGCCGGTGTACATGGCTGCGGTGCTGGAGTACCTGACCGCCGAGATTCTGGAGCTGGCAGGCAATGGTGCCAGAGACAATAAGACCACAAAACTAAGGGCAAGGAAGTTGGAAAGTTTGCCAATACCACTTACTACCAAATGTCTTTCTTTTCAGAGTGCCCTATAAACTTCACCCCTGCAGTAAATGTGTCAACAACCTTACAACCTCTCTCCATTACTGTCTAAATACCCAATCCGTACGTGGCGCGGGGTTTTTTCAAATTAACATCTGAGCGCATTAACAAAAAAAAAATTCACTTCCCTAATGGGAGTATTGTGTTGTGTGTACAGCAACTTTTAAGAGATCTCTGGGTGGCTCTGAAAAGAGCCTTTGGGGCTTTATTGCGGTATTTGCATGGCAAGTTCCTACTTCTTTTTGGGAGTCGCCTTCTTCGCCTTTGCAGCTTTGGGCTTTGCTGCTTTAGGCTTGGAGGCTTTGGGTTTGGCCGCCTTGGGCTTAACCGCTTTAGGCTTGGCGGGGCTCTTGGCCGCCTTCTTCGGTTTGGCAGCAGTTTTAGCCTTCTTAGGGCTCTTTGCTGCTTTCTTGACGCCAGCTGCTGCAGGCTTTTTTGCTTTCTTTGGAGTCTTCTTCACTGCCTTTTTAGCTCCCGCAGCTTTTTTAGGTTTCTTAGGGGTGGCCCCTGCAGGCTTCTTAGCTTTAGCTGCACCCGCCTTCTTGGCTTTGGGCTTGGCTTCTCCAGAGGCAGCCTTCTTGTTCAGCTTGAAGGAGCCAGAAGCGCCAGTGCCCTTGGTCTGCACCAGGGTACCTTTGCTCACCAAACTTTTGAGGCCTAGCTTGATGCGGCTATTGTTTTTCTCCACGTCGTAGCCACCAGCCGCCAAGGTTTTTTTAAGAGCCGCCAAAGAGAGACCATTGCGCTCCTTGGAAGCGGCCACAGCCTTAGTGATCAGCTCAGAGACCGGGGGCCCGGTCGCCTTGCGCTTAGCCGCGCCAGCAGACTTCTTCGTTGCTTTTTTCTTGGCGGGAGATTTCTCCACCGGCGCTGGGGTGGCCGTCTCAGCTGGAGCGGTTTCTGACATGGTGACAAGAAACTGCTAAGGAAGGAGAGATTCGAAATCCAAAGAGCAAGTTTTGCAATGCTGCTTTATCCGGGCCCGGGGCTTATATAAGCCGGCGCTGCTCTGTGATTGGTGGAACGCCCAATCCACCGCCCTCGGGCCGCTGAAGCTCCCGGTTGGACTTTCAAATTGTGTTTGTTAGTCTCCCAAATTTGTCTAAATGCTTAAAAACAGCGATACAGAATTTGACACTTTGAAGCTCCAAAGGAGGAAAACAGCCCCCAGGTTCATGTACTTGTTTGTGTTTTCTCGAATCATGTGCAATTGATGAAAGATATTTTTGAAAATTCCTTAGCTTTGCATAGGAATCTACTGAGCTGAGGGGATCCTGCTAGTTAGTTTCATGTTGCAATAAATTTCTACTAAGTATTCCGTGAAAGTTATTTGAAAAGATTTGTCCCTAGGTTCAGCCTTTGATTTTTGCAAGAGGAAAGATACTAGGTTCCCTGGTTTGGACATAAACTTTGTTTCTAACTGTAGCAAGTAACACAAGCCCAGAGCAGCTGCTTGCCTATAGACCTAAGGCAACCACATACACCTTTCTTTAAAAATCGGCTCTATCTCCTAGGAATGATATATTTAGAGAATGAGATTTTGAAGCTTGGAAAAGTTCAGTTATCAGAGTGGTTTTTTTCACAGCAAAAGTACAAATCGTTTTGATTTCAGAATCCAACTAACCAGATTCAAAACCAAACTTAAATTTTACGGTATGTTTTCTGATTAAGGTGCTCTCTTTAAGTTCTGGGCAAATCCATTAAAATAAGGAAGGAAAGTACTTAGCATAGATAATTTGCTTTTGATAAAACTTTCAAACCTGTTGAAAATTATTCAGTGGCTCCCAGTGGCACTGAAAGGCACTGTTTACATGACTTGGGATTCTGTCAGGTTTTCAAAACGTTCTTTCCACTAATTCTACTGAAATCTCTATATTTAACAAGCTGAATGCACCATCGTGAATACCCTCTTCTACAGGCAACCAGAATACATCAAAATGCCTATTTTTGTGTGTTTAAGTGCAGAGTGACTCATATTTTACAATAACTGTCAATTGACTGTAAGAAGGTTGGATTGGGTATTGAAGAATGGAAGTTTATAGAGGTTCAGAAGAATTTAGGAAAACAGCTGAAGCAGTGAGTTTGGAATGAAGGGGGGTGAAGTTTGCTGTTTATTTTAAGGGGAAGGAGAGTGGCTAGGATTTTGTCCCTCAGTAACAAAGGAGATCAAGTGATGATCCAAATCTTTAATGAAATCAAGTTATTCAGTCCTTGCTCATGAAATACTGTATATGAAAGTTAAATGTAGCAAACATATTTCATCTTTTCTTCAGGAGCTCCTGGACAGGTTGGCAAACTATGGTCTAATCTGGACAGTGGCCTATTTTTGTATGACCCTCAAGCTAAGAAATGCCTTACATGTTTAAAGAATTGTAAAAGATAAAAACAATATAGAAGACTACATATGTGGCCTTCAAAGCCTATGCTACAGGCCTCTTTTAAAACAGTGGAAATTAAGAACTAAAGAAAAGGTCTTCACAAGAAAATGTTCTAGGCATTTTCCACTGTTTCAAGCAAAACTTTCAGAAGATCCGCGCGGAAGAAAACCCAAAACTCTGCGCTAAAGGGGGACAGGGCTATACAATAAGAACTAACATTCCTTAAGCATTTAGTAAGTGCCAGGAGGTAAGCTTAAATATGGTCCGCATATTTTAATTCATTTGCCACATTTTACAGTTGTACAGGCTGAGACCCATTGAGAATGAGTAACTTGACAAAGGTTATACAGGAAATAACTAGCAGTTCTGGGACTTAAACCTAGACACACTGCCTCAGTTTTATTATGATGGAAAAATCCTGGGAGAATTATCTTTGAAGCTTGGAAGAGGAAGCATCATGTTATCCTTACACCTAGCAATCATGCATTAAAGGAGCTCTAAGTTAATGGTAGGAAAAGGATTCTGGCCCCACAGGTCTTAACTTTTCTTTTTTTCCCCGAGTCAATTCCCAGTTTCCAAAGACTTTAGGAGTCAGTTGTAGGAATACAAACCTCTTTGGAAGAGTGAATCCAAGAATAGGGGGAAAAGGAAGGTTCAAATGGGCTAGCCTTCCTAAGAACACTCAGGGTAAAAAATTTGCCTTCTGGATAGCGCCTGTGGCTCAGTAAGACGCCAGCCCCACATACCGAGGGTGGAGGGTTCAAACGCGGTCCTGGCCAAACTGCAACTAAAAATAAAAAATAGCCTGGCGTTGTGGGGCGGGGGTGGGGGGGGGACCTGTACTCCCAAGTACTCGGGAGGCTGAGGCAAGAGAAACACCTAAGCCCAAGAGGTGGAGGTTGCTGTGAGCTGTGACAGCACAGCACTCTACCGTGGGTGATAAAATGAGACTTTGTCTCAAAAAATAAAATAAAATTTTAAAAAATTGCCTTCACATAACTGCCATTTCCTGGAGTCAAGATGTGTACCCAAAAAAGTAAGGAGCAAAATAAGGCAATAATAAGAGCACGAGTAAACTCTTATAGACAGTTGATAATTCTGGGTGTTCTTAAACATTTGTGATGTTTCTTAGTGACACAGGAATGTAAGAATCACCCTTTAAAGCCTAAGAGATGGGATACATTGGCAAAAGTAAACTAACTTAACTTACACCGTTGTCCAGACATGTATAAAGTCCATTTTGTGTAACTTGTCAATAAAAAAAGCTCCATTTCCGTTGTAGTATCCTGAACAGCTCTTAGTACTGAGTTTAAGAGAATGAGCAGAAATAAAATTCAACACTCAAGACGGTAATGCAGTGATCTAGCGGATGAGAACATGGCAATTTTTTAAACCTAATCTGCATTTAGCATGGGATTTATTACAATGGGTGTCCTGGAGGTAACAGCTACTTTTTAGTGACAATTGAGGGGCTCTGAAAAGAGCCTTTTGAGGTGAGACACATTTTTCGCTAGGAAGAATTTATGCCCTCTCCCCGCGGATGCGGCGGGCAAGCTGGATGTCCTTGGGCATGATGGTGACGCGTTTAGCATGGATGGCGCACAGGTTGGTGTCTTCAAAGAGCCCCACCAGATAGGCCTCGCAGGCCTCCTGCAAAGCCATCACAGCTGAGCTCTGGAAGCGCAGGTCGGTCTTGAAGTCTTGCGCGATCTCACGAACCAGGCGTTGGAAAGGCAGCTTTCGGATCAGCAGCTCGGTGGATTTCTGGTACCGACGGATCTCGCGCAGGGCCACGGTGCCGGGCCGGTAGCGATGAGGCTTCTTCACACCACCAGTAGCTGGCGCACTTTTCCGGGCCGCCTTGGTAGCCAGCTGCTTGCGCGGCGCCTTGCCACCGGTAGACTTCCGAGCTGTCTGCTTTGTACGAGCCATACCGAAACAGGTCTATCAACTAAACACAAGTGAGAACAGGAGCTGATCTTCCCAGTATTTATAGTGACCCTCGCGTTCTGATTGGACTATAGACTGCAGAGTTTTTTGTCCTACCACGGAATTGGTTCCCACTTTAATCCTCTCGACATTTTCCCGCCTTTTTTTTTTTTTGGGTGGAGACAGAATTTCACTTTATCGCCCATGGTAGTGGTGTCACACAGCTCACAGCAACCTCCAACTCCTGGACTTAGGCGATTCCCTTGCCTCAGCCTCCCGAGTAGCTGGGACTACAGGCACCCGCCACAACACCCAGCTATTTTTTTTTTTTTTTTTTTTTTTGCAGTTTGGCCGGGGTCGGGTTTGAACCTGTCACCTCCATATATGGGACTGGCACCCTGCCCACAGAGGCACAAGCGCCCCGCTTCCTGCCTTCTTAAAAACTTTTTTTTTTTAAATGTATATTTCACAGAAGACTGGTCTTTCTCAAAATCCACTAGAATTTCTTATACATCAAAAATTTTTAAGAATGTTGGCTTGAAGACCTGCAGCTGCCTTACACTTTTAAAGAGGTATCATGACGAGATTGGCAAAAATTAAATAAATAGAATGAGACAAAATGTTACTAAAATGGAAGCATTGAAGGGGTAAAACGAGACATATGTTATGCTAGTATTTCTTATATTTGAGCATGCCTCAGAAAGGCCAACTCAGGGAGGCCGAGGCGGGTGGATAGCTTGAGCTCAGGAGTTGGAGACCAACCTGACCAAAAGCGAGACCCTTTCTCTTCTAAAATAGAAAACACTGAGGCAATAGGATTGCTTGTGCCTAAGAGTTGGAGGTTGCTGAGCTATGACTTCACAGCACTCTAGCCAAGGGCAACAGCCTGAAACTGTCTCAATTTAAAAAAAAAAAAAAATGGCCTAATACTTATAAGGGCCCGCCAACTTTTTGTGTAAAAGGCCTAATTTAACTACTTTGGGAACTGTGATCCACACTATTTTAACTACTCAGCCCTGGATGTTCTTGTGGGAAAGTAACCTGTACAGTGTGAAGAATGTTTCACAACTTTTATAAAACTCGTCGATTTGGTGTCGAAGCTGCCACCTGAGTAACAGCTTTTGGCATCTAGAAGCTATCTGTTCAAGATCACTAATTCTCAAATTCTCAAAAGCTAAGGTTTTAAAAATGTCTACAGCTCTTTATCAAAACTTTGTGGGTGGCCCTGAAAAGGGCCGTTGCAAGATAAATTACCTGATAAAATACTAGCCGCCAAAGCCATAGAGGGTGCGACCCTGGCGCTTTAGCGCATATACCACATCCATGGCGGTGACAGTCTTGCGCTTGGCGTGCTCAGTGTAGGTGACAGCATCGCGGATTACGTTCTCCAGAAACACTTTAAGAACTCCGCGTGTCTCCTCATAGATAAGACCTGAGATGCGTTTAACGCCTCCACGACGGGCCAAGCGACGGATGGCTGGCTTAGTGATTCCCTGTATGTTATCGCGCAAAACCTTGCGATGGCGTTTGGCGCCACCTTTGCCTAGACCCTTCCCACCCTTTCCACGACCAGACATCCTCGTTAAGACTCAGAGAACGTCGATGTCTAAAGTTCCACAGACAGTGTTTTATATAGTGGTAAAACGGACCTGATTGGAAACTCTGCACACAAGCTGTATCCGTTCCCCTAATTCCCAGACCTAAAAGCCCTGCCCACGATTACAGAAAAAAAAAAAATGGAAAGGGCGGTGCCTAAATTCCAGACTCCGTTAATAAAAAAAATGGTTAATTAAAGATTACTCACTCTACCTCCTATAACGTTTTGTCCTGCCTACCACCTCAAGGCTCTTTCTTTCTGAGTCTGGCTGGCGAAGTTTTTTCTCAGTCACATTTCAGGATCTATTTCTGTATTTATTGCCTTGGGACTGCTCGATCCTAGGGGCCCTTTGCTAAAGGGGTGAATTAAAGTCATTTCGTGCATTTGTGAAACCACTTTGTATGCGCCATCTGCCTCTATAATCTCGGTGATCAGCCTGAGGAGTGGCTCACTGCAATGAACGCTGCCTGTAAGAGCTTCAAGGTGGGCGTCCTCACTTTACTCAAATTTGGTTCTTTACCCTTCTTTTCTTTTTCTGTCTCCTTCCTTTCTGTTCCTTCCCCTTTCCTCCCTCTCGGCCACATTTTGGGGGGAGAATTGACGTTTTAATATTTTCTTCATTCCATTTATATACATACATTTAAAGAGGGAGTGATTTCTAAGGGGAATAAGTCATGAGGAGAAAAATACATCGGGGTAAACTAATGGAAGATAGGAATTATCTAGTACAGTCTGTTATTCAGATTCAGGTCATCTCAGGTGATGAGAATTGATCTCTGGGAGTCATTCTTTTCAGGTATAACAAAGGAGGACATATTTACAGAGGTAGATTTTCCTGTAAAAATGTAATGTTTTTTACAAAAGGGAAGCTTTTGTCTTGTTTTTGCTCTTTTTTCAGTGTCTGTTGTCAAAATAATCCCTTTACTCAGTTGGCATATTTGAGGGTGGAATCTTCTGGCTCCCGATATAGTATGCTATGAAAAAATTCTGGGTCGATTGCCTTTTTAATGTTTTGCCCTGGTAATATTTACATTGTTGGGCCTCAGTAATGTTGCCCTGGGTAGAGTACTCTGGCATCACAGCTCACAGCAACCTCAAACTCTTGGGCTTGAGCAACTCTTGCCTAAGCTCCCCAAGTAGCTGGGACTACAGACAGCCGCCACAACACCTGGCTATTTTTTTGTTGTTGTAATTGTCATTGTTGTTTGGCAGGCTCTTGCTGGGTTCAAAACCACCAGCTCCAGTATATGTGGCTGGTGCCATAGCTGCTGAACTACAGGCACTGAGCCTTTAAGTCTTCATTTCTAAAGGTTCCTGTGTCGTATAAAACTTTGATTTAATAATGTGTTATGCTTTTGTCTTCTCAAGGTGTCTTTTGTTACAAGAGTGACCTTTATGGTGGGTGAGGAAAGCTACCCCACACCTCGACATCTATGTTTCAGTATACATGAATTCTTTGTTAAATTAGATACTTTATTTTCTTCTCTCTCCTGCACAGGAACAAATTAACTGAAGATTTCTTAACTTCTAAAGAGTTTGAGAATCTTGTCTCATTTAAATTAAGTACTTTTAAAATGTTTCCTCTCCTTTCTGTTGTCCTTATCAAATAATAATGCTAATTGTCATGAATTGTCCAATAAGTCCTTATTGGTTAAATGGCATAAATAATTATGTCTTTTTTTTTCACACTAGGAAAGATGTACTTTTCCAAGAGAAATATTGGCAGTGTTTTTATTTCTCTGTACTATTCCTTAACCCCTTAATCAAATGAATAATGGAGTGCACTTTCTTTTTCAATGTTCTGAGGGTTGCTTGTTCACCTGACAAGCAACATTAACAGTCAATGTTAATTGAATGACACTTTCTTAACATTCTTCAAAGTATTGGGCTCAGTCCTTTTCAATGTTGTTAGAATTTCTTTGTAGTTGTTGTTGTTTGCTTATCAGACCCAGGTAGGGTTCGTACCCACCAGCCCTGGAGCATGTGGCCTGGCATCTTAACCACTGTGCTATGAGTGTGCTTTTTTTTTTTTTTTTTCAGAGTCTCACAATGTCACCCTGGGTAGAGTGCTATTGTGTCATGGCTCACAGCAACATCAAAGTCTTGGGCTTAAGCGATTCTCTTGCCTCACTCAGCCTCCCAAATAGCTGGGACTACAGGAGCCCCCAACAACATCCACCTATTTTGTTGTTGTTGTTTCAGTTGTCATTGTTTTACCCAGCCAGGGCCGGGTTCGAATCCGCCAGCCTCAGTGTATGTGGCCAGCGCCCTACCCACTAAGCTACAGGCACTGCCACAATATTGTTAAAATTTCTGTTTGATGTACTGCCTATTTATCTACTTGCCACCTGATTTTGTTTGAATTGGTAGGTAGGTTATGTCTTATATCTCTTGAATTTTTCTTGTTGTTCATTCAAAATAGTTAACTTATTCTTTTCTAATTTTTATTTCTCCTGTCCCCCAAACACACGCATAATCCAAAGCACCCTTAGCTTTTCAGAGTCTTTTCCTCTCCATGAATTTATTCTCTCAAATTCTTTCTTCCATTTGTCAAACTGGGGTTTATAAATTGGAAAGGAGAGCTTTATTTCTCATAAAGAGTTACCCTTCAGGGTGGCCATTTCAACAGGCTAGGAAGCATAGCCCGTGGAGAAGCCAAGAGCCTAAAACTGGAGAAAGGGACTATAGGAATAGGAATTCTTGCTGAGTAGGGTAACCAAATTACATACTTACATATTTGACAAGGTATAGGAGGAATCGTCGTTATTTAAGAAAGAAGAGACATGCCCACATACAATTGTGCTTCATGCCCTTTCATAGATCTCACATGTACAAAGACTAACCATCTGAGCATGATCTGAGGGCAGAGTTTTCACCTTCTGATCTCAAAAGGTGAAACAGAGGACATGGAAACCCTTATTACACATCCTCTCTAGACTGGTGAAAACCACTATATGGACAGTGGCCTCTTCCCGGGAAGGAATGCTGGTCAGTCTACAAAAATGGAGAAACAGCACCAGGCAATTGAAACCAGTGTGGGGCAAATCTTTCCAAAAGCTGGTTCTATTTAACCCTTATGGAAGAAAGGCTGATGGCAATTAACCAGGGAGTGTGTGTAACAGGTGTGTCTGACCTCCCATCCTGTTGTAGCCAAGAACTCAGTTTTAAGCTTTCTCTGGAGTCCACTTGGCTAAGAAGAGGTCTGTTCAGTTAGGGGGCTTAAGATTTTATTTTTTATTTCTCACATTTCAATGAGCTTTGCCAGGTCAGAATCTTAAATATGAGACATGGAAACATGGAGCTTCCCTTCTTCCTTGGCCCCATCTCAGAGTAATTGCCATCCCTGAAATAATTTTTAAAGCATTTTTAATCAACATCTCCCTATGCTTTTAGGACAAATTAAAGAAGTTTAAGGATATAGAATCCACTGCCTTCCCTGACCTCTTTCTTCATCTTACTCTACCCTTGTTTTTGAGGTTCATAATGCCATATTTGTCTGCCCATGGCTTGAAACTAGACTTGTGAAACTCCTTAGTTTCTCCTAAAATTCTGTTCACCTGAAATAAGCAAAAGAATTAGAATTTAAAGAGTTTTATTCAATGAAAAGCTGGGAATAGCCATCCATGAAACATAAACTTCAGAGAAATGGAGTCAGGCTTTAAAAGTTAAGTCTTGCTTATATAGGCAGAAAACAGAGAAATCCAGTAGGATTTTAACATTTTTCTATACAAGTCTAGTTTATGAATTACAACAATTTAATTACTAACAATTTTCTTTTCCATATAGCTTGTTTCATTTCCTATTCAATTTAAAAGAGTATATTAACATTCCATTTTAGACAATGCTGTAGTCCTGAAGTCTGTGTGAGAAAAGAAAGAGGGGGGAACCGGCTAAGGCGCCAGCCGCCTACACCTAAGGTGGCGGGTTCTAATCCCCAGGCCGGACCCGCCAAACAACAATGACGGCTGCAACCAAAAAATAGCTGGGTGTTGTGGCGGGCGCCTGTGGTCCCAGCTACTTGGCAGGTGGAGGCAGGAGACTCGCTTGAGCCCAGGAGTTGGAGGTTGCTGTGAGCTGTAATGCCACGACACTCTACCCAGGGGGACAGCTTGAGGCTCTGTCTCAAAAAAAAAAAAAAAAAAAGAAAAGAAAAGAAAAGAAAAGAAAGAGGGGAGTTAATCTATGAAGAAGACCAACTATAAAGAAGGAAGAAGCCTTTCTCATGCTTTTTATTGATTTACAATATTTTACAAAATGATGTAGGTAAGGAAGAAGGCTAATCTAGAATCAGAGAAACAAAGGTTACATCCCCCAATCTTTTGACTCAGCCTCCATGACCACATTCTTTTAAGGCTCAAAATAACTTAAAGTTCCAACAGCTTAAATTTTGAACTATTTATTTTCACAAGTCTCTCAAAACCCAAGTCCTCTTCAATATATAAAGCTTTTAATACTTGACACTCCCTCCTTATTTTCTGTTATAATTCCTTACCCTACTCTGCAATTTTGTGACCAAAGCTAAACTAGTACCATTTCCCCCACTGGACAGCCAATAAATAGAGAGACATGATGTTGGGGCAAGGAAAGTGATTCTGAAAGCCAGCAAGCTGATAAGACAGCAGACTAGTGTCCTAAAGAACTATCTCAAGTTAAAGTTAGTATGAACTTCAGGCTTCTTAAGTTAAGGGAATGAGAAGGGTGGAGTTGCAAGAAGTAACCAAAGACTGGCTCAGCGCCTATAACACAGTGGTTATGGAGTCAGCCACATACACGGAGGGTGGTGGGTTCCACCTTGGCCCAGGCCAGCTAAAGAACAATGACAACTGCAACAAAAAAATAGCCAGGCGTTGTGCAGGTGCCTATAGTCCCAGCTATTTGGGAGTCTGAGGTAAGAGAATCACTTAAGCCCAGCTATGAGCTGTGACGTCACAGCACTCTACTGAGGGCAATATAGTGAGACTTTGTCTCAAAAAAAAAAAAAAGAAGAA